TGCGAAGCCGAGTCTCCAATTCAGTAATCCTGGCCTCCAGAGCTGCAAATATGCTACATTTGTTACAAGTATCATTACTGCTAAAGGAGGCCAAGGAGTAACTAAAGATCTGACACAATGAGCAGGAACGTGCAGGAGGGACAGGTGAAGAGGCCATGCTGCTAGTGAGTTGGCTACGAGCTAAGCTAAGCTAGCGATACAGTAGAGAGACAGTGAGTGAATACTTTGGCTATAAATTAGGTAGTGAGTACACAGACAATGTGCTTTGGATCAAGCACATGAAGATTATACTATGATAAAACTATGATAAACCCCTGTCTCTGTTTGCCATCTGAGGCGTGGGGCTGGGGGTGATGGTGCCTAGACCTGGGTATATAGAGTATATTTGGGGAGTGTGAGTGTGTGTACAGTGTTCATTTCTGTTTGTCTCCATGTTGAGCGAGTGCTGAGTATATGTATATATGTGCATGAGGGTGGGAATCCTTATGCACACATACGTCCTGTTTGTCTATGTTTATGTGTCAGGTTGGGTCTTAGACTCCACCTCTCTGGGAATCTCAGGCCACACCAGATATGAGGTTATCTCCCCATATAAATATGAGATAGCTCCCAGTTTTCTGTGACCCCAAGGCTTGGGGAGGGGCGGCCATCTGCTGTGTCTCGTTGGGGGTCGGATGAACGAGAAAGGACGAAAATAAAAAATAAAAAGCGAGCATGAGGAGACAGAACAAAAAGACTAAGGGAGAAGGCAAAACTTTAATGACATGCTACAGTGGAGAATAGATAAGGAGTGGAGAAGAAATGCTCCTTTAAACAAACAAACAAACAAAGAACTGTTTTATTTGTTGTTATCTATCATATGCTTGGCCCTTACTCTGAATTTCTACCTCATTTCCCAGACTTTTAAAAAATCTGATTTAGTTCTCAGTTCAGATAAAATAATTATAGACACTATGAGTAAAAGACAAACAGACGATCGATAACAACAAATAAAAGGCTAAGTCAGGTATTCAAATGAATTCAAACTCTGTCGGTGTCCGTAGTTCATTACTGATTGATTTAAAGTAGAATATTCTTCCTCCAAACAGATTTCTATAAGACTGGAAGTTGAGGAGAAAAAGCTGAGGTTTAATGAAACACTCGTAAGTGTTTATGCTTACTTTTTTTTTTAATGATTACTTTTTTGGCTTTTAGCCTTTTTTGGGACAGATGCAGTGACGATAGACAGTAAAGCTGAGAGAGACAGGTGAGGACACACAGCAAAGTGCCCCGGGTTTGGCCCAGGCCAGATGCTGTCCTGCCATACGGCATATAGCTCACCCACTGAGCTAAACCAGCACTCCATTTTAATCTTTCATACAATCGTCATAATTACATATAAATTACAAATTTAGATTGAGAGAACTGACCTGAGATTCACTTGGACTTGGAGGACATCGGATTCTCCTAGCCTTGTTATCTGAAGAAGAGGTGATATTATAGACACCTCTTCAGCTCTGGCACACTTCATGTTTTGTAGAAATCATTTAACATTATTTAAAAAATCCTCAAATTCGTTACTTAGAGGCTTGCCTTTGGCAGGCTATTCTCTACAAGCTTGTTGTCACGGTCCTGGGACCCAGTTTTGTTCTGTTTTTTTGATCATTGATTATTTTTATCACTTTTATCACTACTAGTATTTAGGTATATTTCTCAGTATTTCTAGCTCTCTAATTCTTCATTATTTGATTACTAGTTCTTAGGTTTTGTTATGTGGCTTCCCTGTGTTCTGTGTTGTCTACTCTGTGCCCTCCTATCCCACGTCTCAGGTTCCTATGTTCTGTCTCCCCCGGTCTCTGTTAAGTTTACGTATCTTGAGTTAAGTCTGTGTGTTTTCTGATTTACTTTGAAAGTGCATGTCTCATGTCAGTGCTTCTAGGTTTGCTTCCCTTGTCTAGTTTAGTCTGATTTCTCCCAGCTGTGTCTCCCTCCTGTCTCCCATTCCCTGGTTACTGCGTATTTAGCCCTGTGTTTTCCTTGCCCTATGTCGCGTCGTAACCTCATAATTGCCCGTGTGGTGAAGCTAGAAACTGACATGTTTCACCAGTTTAGTTTTCTGTTTAGTAATTGCCAACAAATAAAGCTGAGGTTTTTGAGTTCATGTTTGTCTCCACGAGGCCTACGTTTGGGTCTATCATCCTGCCTGCCTGCACACAGCTATGACACTTGTGATCAAAGAAAGGTGCCTGTGGTGGCGGTGTGGTCCATGGCTCAACTTCAAGGGAGGGGCGGTACAGCAGGCTCAAGGGGTTCACAGTGCCATACTTCAATACCCTATAGCTTTGCAGTATGCCCAGAACACCTCGCTCAGGAGGTGGCCAGGAGGTATCCTAGTCAGATGCCCAGACCACCTCAATTGGTTCAGTTTAATGTGGACGAGTAGCGGCTTTAGTCTAGTTCCCTCCTAAATGACTGAATTTCTCAAACTATATATAAAGGAGAACTGAGCCACATTCTGGAGACAACAAAATGTTCACCGCTTGTATTTGCAATCGCATACTTTAGGTCACTAGCCAGGCGAGGGTAGGGATGTTTATCTGTCAGGGGCCACTAGGCTGGTACGAGGGCTGAACCCAAAAGCAAACTCAATTGACTAGTGAGATACAGTGAGCTTAAGTTTATTTAATCACAAGGAAAAAAGAAGGATAACTTTGGAGGGTAGGAGACACAGGTGAGGGTCTTAGATGTTGCAGTCACTAGAAGCAAAGGGAGAGAGGGATTAGTGAGGGAGTAGGAGGAATTGCCAGGTAATGATTAGAATGAAGAAATGACAGGTTACTGGTTAGATGAGAGATTGGGGTCCGGAGGGAGGGAGGAAATGGTGTGAGTGTCCAACAGGGTGAGAGTGAGGCAATCCAGCCAATTTGCATGATCCAGAGATGAGTGGCAGGCAGCAGGGCAGGCAGAGGGAAGTAGCTAGTCCATGATCTTTTTCAGGTGAGAGGAGAGATGAATCCAGAACACGAGAATCAGCTGTAGGTGTGGTGGGTAATGATTCTGGTAAAGAAAGACACAAGGAGACAGGTTATACGAAAGAAAATTTCTAAGATTTAAGTGTGCAAGAGCCAAGTTACCATCATGGGGTAGTGGATGGTCTAGCAGAGTGTGGAAGTACTGGACAGCTGTTTGCTGTTTGATGGCTTGCAGGTGGCCACGGCAGGTGGGGAATGGCAAACCCAGCCCTGAGGGTTGGGCCAGGATGGCCAGGCAGTAGACGTCATTATCAACTAGTAAAATCAACACCATAGCATATTTATATTCAGATCTCTCTTTACCACAAGAGACCAGTAAAGCATATGCATCACTGCAGACATGGCTCCAATCCATTTGTCACTCCCCCGCTCTCCTTTCTCTTCACTTTTGACCCCCAGGTACTTGAATTCCTCCATATGGGGCAACAACTTGTCCCTAACCCCAAGAAGGCTCTCCAATCTATTCTTGCTAAGAACTTTCAAGCCCCAGACTTGAAAGTGCTAATTGGTATTCCTATTGCTTCACATTGGGCCGCAAACTGTTGATGTACAAGCTGGATGCCACCACCTGATGAAGCCAACAGAACCACAAAAAATAGAGATGAGATCCTGAGACAACCAGAGGGGAGGCCTTTTTCTACTTAAGACTGCCTAGAAATTTTGTTTAAAAAATTATGAACATAATCATAACCCCAACACCTGCTGGGAATGAGTCTACAGCAAGACAGACCAAGCTCTTGATGCAGTTGCACAAGGACCAAATGGCCTTTAATAATGAGCTAGATGCCCCATACTCCCAAAGCACCTTCCATACAATGTCTCGAGGGATGCGGTCAAATCCCATAAAACACATGTAGACTGTAACCCCCATTCAAACTTGAATTTCCTCATTAGGATAAAGATCTGGTTTAGCAGTCTATGACCAGGATGACAATCACTGAATCCGAGGTTCCAATAATGGACAAACTCTTGTCTCCAGTACCCTGGCATAGACCTTTCTTCCTAGGGAGGCTGAGTAGTGTGATCCCACTGTAATTGAATCACACAAGTAACCACCACCCCTGTCTGCCAATCCAGAGGGACTGCCCTGGATCTCCAAGTGATGTTGCAGAGGTGTGTCAACCAAGATATACCTATAGTAACCCAAGGCAAATCACCTGGGGCCCTACCACTAAGGAGTTATTTAACTACCTTACTCACCTTGGACCCATTGATCCGGAAGTTGTCTGTCTCGTCCTCAGACTATTTTTCTTCAATAGAAGGCATGTCAGTGGGACTGAGAAAAGTAGTCTTAACACCAACCAACTATATCCTTGGTTGAAGTCAGCAACCCACACTGAGAGCCTGATGGTTTGCTGGAATCGCCTCGAGGCTGACCAAAAGGCTTCTTCCATGACCTTAATGAACTCCTCCCATGAGCTAAGGCTGCATCCACAAAGGAATACTAAAAATTTGTAAGGAATAACTGAAACTGTGAAAACCATGTTTGGAAAAAATATAAAATTCCCCTCCCACCCCTGCGGGCATTCTATCCTCCAAGCTGGGGTCCTCTACCAGAGGCCTGGGAGCTTGAGAGTCCTGCGCAGTATCTTAGTTCCCAGGTCTGCACTCTTCTGGACAGAGATCTCCAATGTTGTTCCTGGGATCTGCTGAGCACATAGTGCTTTGATTACCACCAAGACCACTGTCACCTTCACCCTCCACATGTTCTCTAACTCTTCTCTGAGCCCTTGGTATTTCTCAGGTTTCTTGTGTTCCTTCTTCCTGATGTTGCTGTCATTCAGAACCGCTACATCTATCACTACGGCTGTCTTCTTCACGGTTGGAGAAAGAGAGGAACCAGGCATGGAGCTCTGAATGCAAGGCAGTGTGTTTATTTACAGTGGTAAAAGGTTAACAACAGTTCAATGTGCAAAGTAGTCAGTTGTGTCCCCCTTCCAGTGCTCAAACAGTGCGTGGCAGTGAATTTTCCTTCCTCCTCCAGGTAGACTCCCATGCTTGTGATTCTCCTCCATCCCTGTTCCTAGTTGCACACAGAACAGCAAACAGTTAATCACTCGTCTGGCAGGCAACACTTAACTACGCAAACGGTCCGAGAATAATACCAGGCTTAGTGCAATACTCCAGCGCTGACTGTCGTTCGGCCACACCATTAAATAGCTCTGCCTAAGATGGTGGATGATTAAAGGCAGCTGTTGGCTGGATCAGTTGCAGGTGTGGCGGCTCCAGAGCGGCAGCACACCCGGGTCGGAGGTCACTCATTGCCATGCGACCTCCGTAAACAATCGCCATGGCGCCGGAGAGAAAAAGGAAAGAGAGAGGAAAACACACACACACAAACACAGGCAGGTCAACCGGTCGGGGAACCGTCCAACCCTGACATTCTGTTTGTCTACCATCACTATATCCGCTTGGTTAGCCATCACTTTTTTGTCCATCTGTATCTGGAAATCCCACAGGATCTTAGCTCGGACATTATCCGCCTCCTTTTGGGGCATCTCCCATTTTGACCTCGGGACATCCAGGTTATACTCGGCACAGATGTTCCTGTACACTATGCCGGCCACTTGGTCAATGGCGTTCCATGTATGCCCTGCCTGCTAGCATCTTGCACCCTGCTGTTATGTGCTGGATTGTCTCAGGGGCATCTTTACACAGCCTGCACCTGGGATCCTGCCTGGTGTGATAGACCCCAGCCTCTATGGATCTTGTGCTCAGTGCTTGTTCTTGTGCTGCCATGATTAGTGCCTCTGTGCTGTCTTTCAGTCCAGCTTTGTCCAGCCACTGGTAGGATTTCTGTCAGCCACCTCCTTCATCTGCCGGTGGTACAAACCGTATAGGGGCCCGTCCTTCCATGATACTTCCTCCTCTTGCTCCTCTTTCTCTGGTTCCTGCTGCCTGATGTATTCACTGAGCACACGTTTGGTTGGGGTGATCTTCCTGATGTATTCATGGATGTTCCCTGCCTCATCCTGGACTTTGGTGCTGATGCTCACTAGTCCTCGGCCTCCTTCCTTCCGCTTAGCATACAGCCTCAGGGTGCTGGACTTGGGGTGAAACCCCCCATGAATGGTAAGGAGTTTCCTGGTCTAAGAAGTCCTGGACTAGGGACTCTTGTTAATTATCTCACTGAGGGGGTTCAGGCCTATGCAGAACAGCAGTGGGGACAGAGCATCTCCTTGGTAGATCCCGCACTTGATGGTGACCTGTGCTATGGGTTGGAAGTTTTGGGTCTCTATTGTTGTCTGCCACATCCCCATTGAGTTCCTGATGAAGGCTCTTAGGGTCCTGTTGATCTTGTATAGTTCTAGGCATTCCAGGATCCATATGTGGCACATTGAGTTATAGGCCTTCTTGTAATCAATCCAGGCAGTGCACAGGTTGGTCAGGCTGGTCTTGCAGTCTCGGGCTGACTGCTCAGTCTGCCAGTAGCTGGTGTTTTGCTCCTCTGGTAGTCTTGCCTATCCTTTTCTGTGCCCCACTCTTGTGTTGACCCTTGTGCCTATTGACCTTAGCCGCTATGATGCCTGAAAGGAGCTTCCACGTGGTATTGAGGCAGGTTATTGGCCAGTAGTTGGATGGGACTGGTCCCTTCTGGGGGTCCTTGAGGATCAGGATGCTCTGGCCTTCAGTTAGCCATTCCAGGTGTCCCTCATCAACTAGCAACTGGTTCAGTTGTGCTGCTAGATGCTCATGGAGTGCAGTCCATGAGGCATGAATCATGTTGGGGCCTGGTGCTGTCCAACTCTTCATACTGGAGACCCTTTATTGTCTTCTACTGTGATGGTTACTGGGCCCTGTTCAGGGAGCTTGCTGTGGCCACTGAGCAATGCTGTTATGGGTTGCATACTTCTCCCATATTCTCTTCCAGTATTACTCTGTCTCCAGCCTTGGTGGTACTGTTCTCATATTGTTCCTCCTCCAGCCTTGGTGGCGCTGTTCTCATATTGTTCCCCTGCTACTGAGAGTACACCTTGACTGGTTCTGGAGAACAGCTGGTTTATTCTCCGGCCTTCAATCTCTCTGGTGTACCTCTTCAAACAGCTGGCCAAGGCTTTGAGTCTTTGCTTGGCACTTTCCGGCATCTCAGGTATGGGCAGCTTGCTGTACTTCTTAGGCACCTTCTTTGTTGCACCTTTCTGCAGCTCTAGTTTCTGTGTGCATGTGCGTGTGTGTATGTGTGTGTGTAACTGTTTTGCACTATAATTTACTCATAAATGAGTTCATTTAAAAAAATCAATTTTCATGCATTTTTTACAAATAATTTTTCCTTCATCCTTTATTCTATAGTAAGAAATATATAAATACCATGAGAGATAAAATATGTACTAAACATACACTTTACTCAAAGTTCTTTCCTTTTCTTTTATATATAGAATATATTTGGTAGAAAAGATTGTGGTCAAATGCTTCAAAAATAATTTGATAATTACACATCTCAATATAATGTCAGAAAGGCAGCTTTCCTGGTAACACCGTCGGATATCTACACACAATCTCAGGCAGCACCTGGCACAATGTTTCCCACAACACCAACACCTATCTCACTGAGTATGAAGAATGTGAAATATGAGACGAATGTTTCTGTGTAATTCCATATGTATCCTTTTGAAGACTGACTGTCATCCATCCATTTTCTTAAACACTTCTCCAACTATAGAATTATTCCTTAGTCTCTGGACTTTTTGTACTGAAATATATCTTCACCATAACACATGAAGGTAAAACTGTTTACATAAAATAAATAAATGTAATATTGTTTCTTAAGGAATATTGTAAGTTTTCATTAAATCCAAATTAGACGACAAAGTCATTAATATTCTATTGTACCTGTGGCTGACAATGGAGCATAGTAGAATCATAAACTATTCTCCTATAATTAAGGTTAACCATTAGGTGAAGCAGCTAACTAAGGCACAACATGCTTAAATACAGTGTTATAATCAATAAAGTATTTGCTAAGGTAAAAAGTGGACCTGGTTTACATTGGATAATCAGGCATCATTAGAACGATGGTTGACCTTTTCTTTGGCTCTTCGTCTGGCTCGCTCCAGTTCAGCCATCATGGGTAGGGGACCCTCATACATGTTGGTCTTGATTGCTCGAAGTTTCTCCTGGTAGTCTTTTGGCAAGCCGTTCTGTTCTGCTCCCATTACAATCACCTGCAGTCATTGATGAGAATATATTAGTTATAACCATGACAGCAGCCACAAATGTCAGTTGTCAACTGTCTTCAGTGTAATAAAGCAAGAGTGAGCTTCCTATAACTTTTGGAATTGTTAGGTATACCCATTGACCTGTTTGTAACACAAATATCTAATCATCTCATCATCTGCATTTATAAAATCAAATTCTGCTCCGTATGTTAATACATGTTTAATGTTGCACTTTTTTTTATCCTGTTTTGAGCCAGCTGCAGTGAAATGTCATTCCTTGTACACTTGCTGTATATTGAATGATTATAAATGTGTCTCCTGTTTAATCTTATCCTCGGCTCTGTGTCATTGTGTTCTTGTGTAGGTGGTGATGGGGCTGAATCAGAATTTCCTGCTTCCAGAGGGAGTGGA